GTTATTATGATTCACCGCAGAACGAGGTCGGTCTTTATCTAATAAATACGTCCCTTCCGAAGTCGGGATTTACGCACGTATTAGCTCTAGAATTACTACGGTTATCCGAGTAGTAAACACCACCAAAGAAACTATTGCTGATTTAATGAGCCATTCGCAGTTTCACAGTATAACGCTTATACTTAGACATGCATGGCTTAATCTTTGAGACAAGCATATGACTACTGGCAGGATCAACCAGGTATCTATCCTTTCGACACGACAACGACGAATATATCAACCGGTCGAAACCGATCAATACAATCGACGCGACGCGCCACAATTAGCCTCCCGGCCAAAAGTGATTGAAAGTTTGATTAGAAAATCAGACGTCTCACGAACACACACAAGGCTCCCGCCTCATGTGCGAACGCGATTGAAACGCCCTCACGTAGGTCCTACAGAAGGTCCTCCTGATGACAACCAACGCACTCGAAACATTCCATACAGATCATCACAATCACATGGCGTTTCGCGCAGGCTGCACCGTCACGCAAGCCACTCGCCACCGAGCTCGGTATGAATAGTGGAAACAAACACACACATGCTCAAGGTTTCGAGGGTTCTTGCAATAAAAAAGTAATACGTTTAGCCAGCGGCTATCGGTACAAGCTTCTTTTCCGCGCATCCATCGTGAAACACGAAGAATGCCGCAGGCTCGTATGCAGAGCCGCAGTTTGCATTTCGACCGATCGGGGCTGTGCGAGCGCGCCGCCGACGCATTCGTCAGCTGCGCGCCTCGCCGCGCCGGGTCGTCCTGCCACTCATCCAGGTACTCAGCCCATCGCCGATTGGGAAACAACCGACCCGGAACCATAGCCCGTGGGTACGATGACCGGAGGGCTTTTCGCTGGGTGGGAGGTGCGAACTTGCGTTCACACTTCCTTACAGATGTCCAGGGACGCACGACATGTCGGTACGTATATTTGGCGTGTGCGGTATCATATGCGTGTGTATATTGATTACGAGTGGTCGTGTGTGAGATTTGGACCGGGTGTGGATGCATGGTGCGCGACGTGATTTTCGCGCATAATGCACACTGTTTGCACACACACCACGACAGCGCCCCAACACCTCCATGCCGCCCACGCCCGCGCGCGCACGTCTGCGGAGTCCCCCGCCCACGAGTCATAAACCGCCAAATCCGGACAAAGGACGCGCCGACCACGCGCGCCACAACCGCGCCACGACCGCGCACGCGCGGTAAATGCGATCCAAAAACCTTCGCAAGGAGCATACCGCCGCCTCGCCGCCGCGAACGACCAAACGCGCGCGGCCCCGCGCGCATTCGCACACACACAAAGGATGCCATTCTTGAACGCACGCGGTTTATCTCAAGGTTGCCATGTTTTCGCACGTACTGTGTCCACCTATTGACCACTATTCAAATATTCCGTCGATACATCCAATTTCTCAAGGTTGCCATGTTTTTCGACGTACACAGTGTCTATTCGCACCATGAAGAAGTCACGTGTGCACCGCCCACACGCGTTCGAACGATGCTTGAGCGTCCGCGGCCGAATGTGTCGCTCGCCTCCGCAGCCGATCGCGCCTACGGTCGTTGGCCGCGAGCGTGATGACCGCGGTCAAGACAACGAGCAGATGCGCCACCGCGGCGTTCAGGTGAGTGGTTCGATCGCGCGATAGAAGCCGCGGAACGGTCGAATCTCGCTCGAAGGCGGATTCAAGCCTGATCGAAAGATCTCAGACTCGACGCGCGAGAGAGCACGCGAGAGACTAACAGAGCGATCGAACGCGCGCGTATAGCCCGGGGTCATCGCACCTCGCCACGGGTACGATGGCTGGGGCGATAGATTTGTCTTTCAGCACGACGGCGTGCTTGGAAATCTTCGAGGTGGACTACGCGTCCAGAGAGATGGACATGCCGGTCGTGGGTAAGGCGATTCCGTCCACGGAGCGCTTTCATCGAATCGTTTGGGGGAGCGCTGGGATTGGGAGCACCGAGACACGACTGGGGTTGATCGCGGGTGGGTTGGTGGACGGGACAGTGAACGTGTACAACCCGGCAAAGATCGTGGACGGAGCAACGAACGGAGCGATCATCACCAAGCTCGCGAAGCATCAAGGTGCGGTTCGAGGTCTGGATTTTAATACTTTTTCGCCGAATCTACTTGCTAGCGGAGCCGAGGACGGAGAGTTGTGCATCTGGGATTTGGAGAACCCAACAAAGCCATCACTGTATCCGGCGCTGAAGTCAACCACTGGTGGACCGACGGCTGGTGAGGTGTCGTTCTTGCAGTGGAACCATAAGGTGCAACACATTTTGGCATCATCATCGCTAAATGGATCGACAGTCGTTTGGGATCTGAAGCGTCAACGACCGGTGATCTCGTTCACCGATCCGAACTCCCGTCGACGTTGCTCAGCCATGCAGTGGAACCCAGAGGTTGCGACGCAGCTCATCGTCGCAAGTGACGACGATCGCTCTTGCACTCTGCAGGTTTGGGACCTACGAAATTCGATCTCACCGGCGCGCGAGTTCGTGGCGCATTCCAAGGGTGTGCTCGCCATGGCGTGGAACTTGCAAGATCCCGCGCTCTTGCTCACGTGCGGCAAGGACAATCGCACACTTTGTTGGGATACCGAGGTCGGTGAGGTCATCTCCGAGCTTCCGGCGAGCGCGAACTGGAATTTTGACGTACAGTGGAGCAAGACCGCTCCGGGCATCCTGTCAACGTCGTCGTTTGACGGCAAGATTACACTTCACAATATGCAGCAGGCAGGTGCATCGCAAGCTGGAGCGCACGGCGTGAACTCGGATTTCACCGGGCTCGCGCACGAGCAGTCGACCGGTCCAAAGGCGCCGATGAAACGCGCACCGAACTGGTTGAAGCGTCCGTGTGGGGCGACCTTCGGTTTCGGCGGTAAGCTGCTGGCACACGGCGCGCAGTTGCAAGGTGGTCCAACGGCATCGCCTACAACAATCTCCATCATGTCCGTGAAGAGCGAGAGCACGGACGGGATGGTAGTGAAGGAACAGAGCGTCGAGTTTGAGCAAGCGGTCAAGAATGGCGAGGTCAACGACTTGATCAAGTTTTGTGAGGTAAAGAGGCAAGACGCAAAGGGAGAGGACCAGGAGGCTTGGACATTCATGCGCATCTTGTTCGCGGAAGACGCACGTCGGGAGATGCTGCGGCATCTTGAATTCGGTGACGCCTTGGAGGCTCGGGAGAAGTCTCTCGCAGCCTTGTCAATGAAGGACGCTCGCGAGGTCGAAGACTCTGCCCCGATGAGTGCGCCTACGTCGCCGAGTTTACCTCCCGTGGAAGACAATGATGCATTCTTTGACAACCTCGGAGACGCGCCAGTGCAACCACCCAAGCCGACGCCGGCGCCGAAAAGTATTCCGCCACCGAAGCAGGCGACGGTGACGACGATCCCGCCGCCAACTGCGGCAGATTTCGAGATTCAGCGAGCCTTGATCGTGGGTGATTACAAAGCTGCAGTGGCGGCGTGCGAAAAGGCTGAGCGCTACGCCGATGCGCTCATCCTCGCCGCGGCCGGGGGTCCAGAGCTCTGGGCGGAGGCGCAGGCTTCGCACATCGCACGCGCGCCGCGACCGTATATGCAAGTTGCTGCGGCCGTTGTTGGGAAGAACTTGTCCAGTCTCGTCAAGGCGCGCCCGGTGTCGGCTTGGCGAGAAACACTCGCGATGTTGTGTACGTACGCTCCTGGTGATGAGTGGGGTCCGTTGGCGGAAGTTCTCGCGGAAGGTTTGATTACGAGTGGTGATCACAACTCCGCGATGCTGTGCTACATTTGCGCCGGCAACGTCGACGCGGCTATCAAGTATTGGTTGACCTTGCTGCCCTCCAGAAACTTTACGCCAAAAGATTTATACGGCGTCGTGGAGAAAGCTGTGATGCTGACGCGTGCGGCTGGGCAATCAGAGTCCACCCAAGGCTTCACATCGTTGATCACGAACTACGCCGAGATGCTGTCGTCGCAGGGCGACTTGGATAGCGCGTTAGATTATTTGGGCATGGTTCCTGGGAGCCCGGGCGAAGACGTGAACGTCCTGCGCGACCGAATCATTCGTAGCAGTGTCTCCACCAAGGCGAGTACGAGCACTCAAGTGGTGTCTCCAGCCGTTTCTTCCAGTGTTCCGGCGTCGTCGTCGCCGTACCAGGCCTCGCCGACCTCGAATGTGTCAACGTATGGTGCCCCGCCGCCGACGTCTATGAAGAAATCCGCATTGGCGACAACCGCGAACAAGTCCAAGCTTCAAGGCGACGAGGAGGCGATTCCGGAGTTTCGAAACGCCGATGTCTTAGTGTGTACGCCCGCGCGATTGCTAAAACTCATCAAGGATGAGTGGGTGTTGCTCGGACGATTGCGTCACGTCGTCGTGGACGAGGCGGATGAAATGTTATCGAGCGGTTTCGCGAGCGACGTCGGGGAGATCATCAAACTCTCCTACGGCGAGAATGGGATCAACCGATTCGACACCAAGGTTCAGTACATATTTGCCGCTGCGACGATGCGCGAGGCCCAACCTCTTTTGGAGACGTTTCCGGGTGAGGTTGAGTGGGTGTCCACCGCGCGGTTCGGTCGCGTGCATCCGCAGCTCGACGTGCGCGTCGACGACGTTCGAGGGGACGACGCAAAGTTCGAATCCCTGTGCGACGCTTTGAATCGTCACAAGGCGTATAAAACACTAATCTTCGCCAACTCACCCGAGGATGCGGACGAGCTCGTGGGGAAATTGGACGCCCGCGACGTCGTCGCGCTCGCGTTTCACGGCAGAGCGAAGGAACGGGGCGTGGTGTTGGACGATTTCATCGCAGGAGATCTCAAAGTTTGCGTCTGCACCGATCTCGCCGCTCGTGGAATCGACTTTCCAGACTTACATCACGTCGCGCAGTACGGCGCGGCGCCGTCGATGGAGATGTTTTTACACCGGTGCGGAAGAACGGCGCGCACGGGTCAACGCGGTCCGTTCCACGTCACGTGCGTCGTCGACCTGGACGCCGAAACCGTGGACGAGGACGTGAGGAGCGAGCTCGAATCGCATCGATGAGCGTGGTTTTAGCTGAATCTTTTTGTAGTAGTATTATAATAAAGCGAGCTGAACGAATGAAATGAATGGGTGACGACATTCTGACTGCGCGATTTTTAACGCGCGGCGGCGACGGCCTCGGCGGGCGTCGTCCACTGCGCGCCGTGGAGTCTTTGAAACTCCGTAAGCGTGGTCTTTCCCAGTAATTCACCGAATAAAGTACCAGTGCTGCATCCGGTGACTCGCACGGCGACGTAATCGCCCGGAGACACGCGATGCGACCCCGTCGTCGCCGAGCGCGCGTCGCCCGCGTACGACCCCGTCGGCGCGTCGTCAAAAATCACCCACTTCGACGTGTCCGTCTTACCCGTGAGCTCCTCCGGGTTCTTCTTACTCGGACCCTCGACTAAGACGCAGTGCGTGGAGCCGATCTCCATGCGCTGCTTTTCGCCCGCCTTGGCGCGGAAGGCGTCGATGACCTCTTGCAATCGCCGCTGCTTGACATCCTCGGGAACGTCATCCTTTTGATGCCTGTGCGCGCCAGTGCCCTCGCGCTCGGAGTAGGCGAACATGAAGGCTTGCTCGTACCCGATTCTCGTCATCAAGCTCACCGTGTCTTCGTGATCCGCCTCGGTCTCACCGCAAAAGCCGGAGATGATATCCGTCGTCACCGCGCATCCGGGAATGATCATCCTGACGCGATCGATGAGCTCGATGTACGCCTCTCTGGTGTACCCCCGCGCCATTCGCTCGAGCGTCGCGGTCGAACCGCTCTGTGCGGGCATGTGTAAGCACTTCGACACGTTCGGCCGATCGCGAATCACTCTGAGGACGTCATCCGGGAAATCTTTCGGATGCGGCGACGTGAATCGAATGCGCATCTCCGGATCGACGCTCGCCACCTTGTCGAGCAATTCGGCAAACTGAATCGTGCCCTCGCGCTTACGCTCGGGATCGTACCGAGACTTGAACCCATCGGCGTAGCCGACGAAGGCTGAGCCCTGCGCGCCGGCCAAACCGGCGCTCGACGCGTTGGCGACGAGTTCCACCGCGTCCACGTCTTCCCCCACGAGCTGACTCAAGAAATCCCTCGTCGTCGCGCTCGTGACGTCTCCCGCGTACGAGTTGACGTTTTGCCCCAACAACGTCACCTCCTTGATCCCTCGTTCGCTCAACGAACGAATCTCGTACATGATGCTCGCCAAATCTCTCGACCGTTCGCGTCCGCGCGTGTACGGCACGATGCAAAACGCGCACGCGTTATCGCACCCACGCATAATCGTCACGAACGCCGAATGCGTACCAACCTCTCGCACCGGAATAATATCCGCGTACGTCTCCTCCACCGACAACTGCACGTTCATCGCCTTCGCCCCCGTCCCGCGCACGGCGTCGATGAGATTCGGCAAGTCCCGATACGCATCCGGGCCCGGCACGATGTCCGGCAATCGATCCGCCTCGAGCAACTTTTCCTTCACCCGGTCCGGCATGCACCCCAACACCCGACGACCGGTCGCGCGCGACGTTTCTTCATCGAACCGATCGATCGAAAATACGCCAAGCGCTGGCAAATCTTCGGCTCCGGCTTGTCCC